ATCTGTCCAATAAAAGCTTAAAATGACAGTAATTGTATCCAAAGTGACTTAAAACTCATCCCGAATTATTTAAAATGGTCCTAAATTATTGCAAATGTGTCTAAAACTATTTAAATCTGTTAAAAATGTCTAAAATGGTTCCAGAATGACTTAAAATGCTAAAAAAAAAAATAAATGCATGAAATGTGTCAAAAGTGAGTTAAAATTCTCAAAAATGTTTGAAGTAACTCATCAGAAATGACTTAAAATGGTCTAAAGTCTTTTGAAATGTGTCTAAAGTGAGCTAAATCTGTCCAACATGAATAAAGACTCGTCCGCCAGGGAACGTTTTCTGACCAGAATAGGTCCGATCAGAACCTCAGGAGTGAAGCTGGACTGACTGTAGTTGCACTGAGTTCCTGCTGTGAGGCCTGAATTCAACATAGGAAATCTAAACCAGTGGTTCTAACAGTAATCTGATTACTGTGACGTGACGCAGTTTATCTGAACTGCTGCTGCGTTCTGTAGAGACGATACGAACCTGTGAAGTTCTGGTTGTCCAGCAGAGGTGGTCGGCTCGTTCTGGTCCTGCAGGAAAACATGAAAATACGTGTTTAGGGAAATGTGTCTCGATGTCACCGTCGTTTTAAAAGGCCGCAGTGAGACCTGTACCCGTTGGATCGGCGCGGGGAAGGTCTCCTCGCCATAAACCACCACGCCGCCACGTCCTTCAGGGTCGTCTTCACACTGAGTGGAGACCTGCACACAGAAAACGTGCCATAAGAAGCAGAACTGACTTCATGTTGGTCAGACCTGTAGTTTCAGCCGCACTGGCCACTAGCTGTCTAGGCTAACAGCTAATGGCGCCAATGATGCTAATAGTTCACGGCAACAATCAAAAGACTGAATCAACCCACATCAAAGAAAGTTCAGTTCTTTAAACGGAGTTTCTACTTTCACGAAACACTTTAACAGCGAATGTATTTCAGCCGAAGATACAAAAACATACATTGGTTGAGTCATGGTGCGGATCCATTGTTTCGAGAACTTCTGGTCAAAACCAAACCCCACGTCGCATGACCTCATCAGGACACGTCACATCGCACGTTCACGTACGTACGTACATCTGAGCTCCGGTGCTGAAATATCGATTGTAGTCCCTAACCCTAACCCCGTTTTTTGGTCCCAGGTTATGTCTGATGATTTGTTTATTTTTGTTTTTTTTTTTTTTCTTTAAATTACAGAAGAAATGTTTTCATAAAATATTTTACTTAAGATTCTTGGTTGTTGGTTGTTGGAGCAGAAAGAGTGAAATACTGATAAAAAGGCAGAAATATGCAGTAGGTGAAAATAAACAGAGAGAAAAACATAAAATCAGTGTAATATCTCGTCTACGTAGAAATGTCCTGTGTGGAATAAGAATGTACAAATGTTCAAGTGTCTTATTCACATTTACTGTGAAAAATACAAAATTAAATAAGAGATCAATTAAAAAACAGGGAAAAGATGAAGCTTTCATCCAGGTGATCAACTCACCGGTTTTCTTCAGGTGTTTGTCCAGACGCTGGTTAGATCCTCCTCATGATCCTCCTCATGATCATCCTTGTGCAGAGGAACGGGGCTCAGATGAATCTGACGGACTTCTTCGCCGGGTGGAGAAGTTCTCTGGAGGAGTTCTCTGATCGATGCTCAGTTCAACCCACAATGACTTTACTTCTTGAGCTCTGCCTTTATAACCTCAGAACCTCGGATCATATATCGAACGTGTTGCATTGACACGAATAGAAACCACCGTCTGCACAAAACCAAACGGAACTTTTCTCAGTATGATGTAAACAGCTGTTAGTCTTTTCTGAACAGTTTGCAAATGATTTAAAGCAGAAATATTTATATTAGTTATTACTTTTACCTCCTGTCTCATTTGTCCTCACCGTTTCTCATTTTAAACTGTTCAAACACAGTAAGTGTTTTGTCATATGGAGGACTTTTGATCATTCCAAGTCACTTTGGACACATTTCAGGTCGTTCTAAAACTAATTCTGGACATAGTTTGAATCATAAACTAATTTTAACTCGAGACAAATGTTATGTAAGTAATTCTGGACGAGTTTCAAATCATTTCAGGCACATTTCACAACATTTTGAACAGATTTTATCTCACGTTGGACGGATCTCAAATTGTTTTAGACAGTTTAAGTCATTTGGGATTTTTTAAACTCATTTTAAAAGATATTTTAAGTCCCTTTGGACAGTTTTAAAACTTGTTTAGGACAAGTGTCAAATTTTAAGTCAATTAAGATGCGCTTTTAGGTCATTTTGGATGAAATCTAAGTCATTTTGTACAATATTATATCATTTTAGATTAGATTTAAGTCATTTTGACATTTATTTTAAATAAATAGCCGTCAGCTGATGATAAGAATAATGAACCTGCTGATCAGTTACATCTATATATCTGACTTATAATCAATGTAATTTGAATTACCTTGAAAATGTTTTAAATTCATTCATATCAAGTAAATGCCTCCCAGAAGATTTATGCACGAATCAATTAATGAACCTCTCTAATTAAAGTTTTAAAACTTCCGTTCAGTAGAAAATAGACTTCTCTTCTGCAGACACTTCTGTCTTCTCAAGTATCTACCTGACCACATGCTTGTTCTTGCACTTTGTTATTTTAGCAGATGTAAAATTGCTTATTCAACGTCTGCAACCGCCCACATCCTGCAATGACGGTTACCACGTCTTGTAAAAACATCAGTGTTCTGCATCTGTGGTCACTTAGAGAGACTGCTGGAACCTAAAGCACCGCCCAACAAGACCTGTGAGGATCCTGACAACAGGACAAAGATGTGTTAAAAGTTGTCCCTGATTGTTGAGGAACATCATTCAGCAGCATTACAGTAAACCTGATCAGCTCTCGAGCCTCAGAACATTACGTCATGATGCTGCCACCACTGTGCTTCACATCATGATGCTGCCACCACCGTGCTTCACATCACGATGCTGCCACCCGATGCCGGGCTGGTAGGCGAACTGCAGCGGGTCCGCTGATGAGCCCACCAGGGGTCACAGATGACAAAGGACCAACCTCTGCAGGGTCTCATCAGGTGGAATGTCAGTGCCACTGGCCTGTAGTGGTTGAAGTCCTTGGAGTGCGAGATCTTCGGCACCGGTACCACGCAGGACGTCTTCCACAGCTGTGGTCCTCTCCCCATGTTGGAGACATGCTGCTCAACCCTGCTCAGCTGATCTTTTGTCATCTTTCAGCAGATTTTTCGCACATTTTAGAGACACTTTTTAGATTTAGTTTTTACAAGTTAGGGCCATTATATTATTAATAATTTCTTCTCGCTTTATCAAAATTTTTAGCTCAGTTTTCTTTGATATTCAGTGGATTTAAAATAATAATAATAAAAAAAAGGATTATGTAAAATAATTTATTTTATCTACTTTGTGGTATTTCTGGGACATTTTACGAATATTTATTTTAATTGTTTTTTAATTGACAATGTTTTTTTAAAAAACAATATTGGGGGATTTTATTCTCATATTTAAAAAAAAAAACTTTTGGGACATTATTTGATATTTGTGAGACTTTTTAAAAATATTTATACATAAAAAATATTGAAAATATCAAACATGTCAAGATTTAAACAGTAGTTGTAAAACACCTTTAGACTCAGTAACTGTTTTATTTTAAGAGTCTGTTCTAATATCCACTGTGTCAAATCTGCATCTGAAACATCTGTCAGATAAACGTAGTGGAGCAGGATGTAGGAGATGTAGGAGATTTCTGTCAGAGATGTTTTGGAGCATAAGGAGACGGTAAATACTCAAGTACAACTACCTTCACCTGAGTGAAGTACCTGATGTCACCACTGGACAGCCAGAGTGGAGTTAATGGCGCGAGAGACGAGTCAGTTTCCAGGTGAAACATGATCAGCAGTCCTTCACGACTACATCTGACCTCCAGCAGGTGTCAGTAGTGTGTTTGTTGATGTACTCTGCTCCTTTCACCGCTTCTACATCATCTCACCTGTGCAGCGCGGCGGACAGGTGAAGGTCAGAGGAGGACGAAGAACGGAAAGGGGGAGGAGCTACACGGTGTCACCTTCACGCTCCTGCTGCTGCGCGCTCACAAAAAAAAAAAAAACTCCGTCGCAGTGTTGTGCACGAGCCGTCGTCATGGGTCCTGTTTGATGGCGAAGGGACGTTACTGCGGCTGCGTCTCAGTGAGCTGCGTGCTGCGAGTCTGCGCACTGACGCCCCTCTGAGCGTCTCTGCAGTTGAGTGACGGCCGACAGGTGAGCGGCAGGTAGGTTCTGATCATCGAGACTTGTGGTGTAAATCCCAGTATAAATGTTAAAACCTGACACATTGCTATTGCAGTTCCCTTAAAGAGTTGATGTTCTACAGTAGAATATGAGTTCTACTGTTTAATACTGTAAATACACTGTAAAAAATAATAATAACAATAATACTGAAACAAATACTGTACAGACACACCCTGATTCTAGCAGCAGTGGTTCCAATATGTTAAATCTGAAGCTTTTTGGACCCAAAAACAAGAACGAACATTAACATCAGGCTGCTGTTAAAACTGAAAGTGAAGGTTTCCAAAAGTTTTCACACATCAGCAGCTCAGAGCAGCACCTTGATTTAGTCAGTGAATAATAATAATAATAATAATAATAATAATAATAATAATAATAATAATAATAATAAATGTACACTTTTATTTTTAGGTAATTCATTTGTTCTTGGTTTACAAAATGTACACTTACGAAAACATTGCTGCTTTTTTAAGAGATATTTCTGCCATAACTCACTTGGTGGCCTCCTTCACTAGTCTCCTTCTATTAACTCCTAACTCCTCTTCTACTGATGACCATGAGGCGTTTAGGAAACATCTGTAAACTGCACCAGTTTGTGTAAATCAGGTTTGGATGTCATAAGTGTTCCTTTAATGTTGATAAAGCTCAGGGAATATTTTTGGCAGAAGCTTGATCATTTCATCTTTTCAGACCTGGAGTTTTGGTATTTCATGTTGGTTTATATGTGCGGAGCTGCTTCATGTGGACATTCAGTTTGCTGTAATGAATATTCTTACGTCCAACACATTCATATATTTACAGTCACAGGAGCGCTGTGTGGCCACGACACCAGCCTGGATTGAAGAATTCTTTCAGGACCAATAATTGAAACTGTGTTCTCTGCTGGATCCATTCAGTCATTGTGATCTGCTGGAGTCTGTTGTGTCTCTAAATGGGATTTTAGCTTTTTGAGGGTGGAAACAGAAACATGTCTAAATCTGAAAGGAGGAAATTCTCAGAAAGTGTTTTGGAGGCTGATGTAGGACTAAATCCTGGGGAGCTCATTGCTCTGCTCAGAGCGCCGGCTGGAGTCGGTGTTTGTGGGATGAGTGAGAGTGCAGACGCTCCTCCGCTGTATTCACCTCACACAGCCCTGCTCCGGCCGACCTCGCCGGGAAACAAAGCTCCACAGCGGTTCTCACAGAGCCCATTGGTCCGTCGGAGCAGAGGGGAGGAGCTTCACACTCAAACAGAGATGCTGCTGGAGCTGGTCTCTCCAGACGGAGGATGCGGCAGCAGCAGGCAGCAGCCTGTCCGACTCCCGCAGGAAGATTCTTCTCTTTGTTTTCTGGATTTTCTCCGCTGCTCTGTTCCGTCGCTCCGTCCGTCCTGGTTCTGTCTCAGCCTGCCGCCTCCGTCCACAGCTGCTGCTACATCAGTCCGTCCTCATCCTCGTCTCCCATGGCGACCTGACAGAGACTCACAGCATCTTCTGCTTCACATCCTTTCCACTTCTCGCCATCAGCCCTCCTGTCTGCGGGACGATGCCGGTCCTAGAGGGTCTCTGGGGTCCGGACCTCCGGATGCGGGACTCTGGTCTGGACGTGTGCCCAGAGGAGGCCCCTGGTTCTCCGGTCTGGGCCCCTCTCAGGACTCCTCCGGTCACCTGTGGAGGTCTGTCTCTGGCCCTGGAGCTCCCGGCTTTGATCCGGCAGCTCCGGGCCGCCTGGAGGGCCCGCAGAGGAGGCCCCCGGGGGCCCGAGAGGAGCCAGCCGGACCCCTGGGTGGAGGCAGAGAAGGAGGAGGTGGAGCAGGATGGAGGAGCACATCTGGAAGGTAAAACAGCTGGTCTGATTTCTGTTCAATGATTGATGTAGTTTGTCCTGTACCCTGTAGAACCTCCAGGGACCTGCTCCGGACACCACAACAAGGGTTAGCATGACAAAAAATAAATAAAATCTAATTTACTGACGTAGACACACTTTTATTTTGATGGTTGACATGATGATGTTGCAGCAACTTAATATTGTGTTTAATTCAAACTAAATTTTCTGCATGTTGATTTTAAACTTAATGAGGTCAATTGAAGGAACTTCTCACCTTCAGAACAGAAGGTCTCCTCCTCTGTTATAAAACCTGGACGGTTAATAAGAAACACCATTGATTGTGGAGAAAAAGTTGTCTGAACTCAAAGTAACTGGTGCAAAGTGTTGTCTTAAATTTTTTTGTTCTGACTAAACATAATTTTTTTTAGAGTAGTTTAGAAGATGTGAAATGAAAGCAGAGAGATAAAACAGCGACAAAGAGACACAAAACAATGACAAAGAGACGCAAAACAACCACAAAGAGGCACTAAACGACCACAAGGAGACGCAAAACAACCACAAAGAGACACAAAACGACCACAAAGAGACACAAAACGACCACAAAGAGACACAAAACGACCACAAAGACACAAAACGACCACAAAGAGACACAAAACGACCACAAAGAGACACAAAACAACCACAAAGAGACACAAAACGACCACAAAGAGACACAAGACAACCACGAAGAGACACAAAACAACCACAAAGAG